GTCCCATTTATGCCTTAAATTACTTTGGAAACAAATCTTTTGTTTTCATTTTCCCCACGATATTTTACATTTATCTCTCTTAAGTCATTTAACAAATGTTATATTGTCTCAAGTCTTATCTCTGTGTATCTCACATTTCCCATCTGGACTAGGCCCCCTAAGGGCAGACCCCACATCTGATTTACATTTTTATCTCCTCTAGTGCCTAGCTAGAATGTAAGTTTCCGGAGAAAAGGGACTCGCCTGTATGTCCCCACGGGTTAGCATGGTGAAACTTCATGTTAATAAGCTGTCAAATAAGTGGACATTTTATTTTTATTTATGTGCGAGAGAGAGCACGAGCGGGGTGGGGGGAGGGGTGTTGCAGGGGAGGAAGGGTGCTGCAGAGGGAGAGGGATGAGCAGACACCCTGCTGAGCAGGGAGCCCAAGGCGGGGCTCGATCCCACGACCTTGAGATCATGAGCTAATCTGAAGTCAGACTCTTTAACTGGTTGAGCCACCCAGGCGCCCCAGTAGACATTTTAATAAACACAAAACCTAGGGGCACCTGGGTGGCTCAACCAGTTAGGCAGCTACCTTTGGCTCAGGGATCAAGTCCCACATCTGGCTCCCTGCTCAGCAAGGAGTCTGCTTCTCCTTCTCCCTTTGCCCTTCCCCCTGCTCCTGTGCTCTCTCTCTCTCTCAAATAAATAAATAAAATCTTAAACACACACACACACACACACACACACAAAACCTAGGGTCCTGGGATGGAGGCCTGTGATGGGCTCCCTGCTCAGAGGTCTGTCTGCTCATCCGTCTCCCTCTGCACCCCACCCCTGCTCATGTTCTCTCTCTCTCTCAAATAAATTAACAAAAATTTAAAAAAATAAATAAATAAGCATGAAACCTGAAAAGAATAACATGGAGGAGGAGGGATGAACAGGCAGAGCACAGAGAATTTTTAGGGCAGTGAAAGTCCTCTATGATACTACAGTGATGCATGCCATAATACACTTGTTTAAACTCAGACTGCACAGCACCAAGAGTAAACCCTAAAATAAACTTACTATGAACTTTGAGTGGTTACTGTGTGTCAGTGTATGTTCATTCATTGTAATAAATGTCCCGCCCGTGGGGAACGGTGATAATGGGGCAGGCTGTGCATGTGTGGGGACAGGGCGTTTATGGGAAATCTCTGTACCTTCCTCTCCATTTTGCTGTGAACTTAAACTGCTCTACAAAAATTAAGTCTTGAGAAAAAAACAAACAAAAAGGAGAACAGCATGCTTTCAAAACAGAAGGAAATGCTGGGCATATATTAAACCCAACAGATTTCACAAATTTTTTATCTACCCATCATGTTAATCTAACTTTATGGTAAACACATACAGTGTGTCAGATACCTTTCTAATCACTATATATATGGTACGTATTGTTGATTTATCAGATAAGGAAACTGTACTGAAAGAAATTAAGGAATATGTTCCAGGATGTACAACTGCTAAATAGCAGAGTCAAGATTCACCCAGGAAGAACTGCCTCCAAAGTCCATGAGCCTTATACTGATCTGGCAGGTAACCAAAACTCTTAATTTTGCCTTTATTTCGTAACTTCATGTATATTATTTTTTTCCTTTCTCAAATAACACTTCAAGTTTCTTGGGGTTAAAAACTGGTATCTCCTCATTATTAAACCGTCCACAATATAATAAATTTCCTGTTCAGTCATCTTCTGTTTAGGTGTCTAGCTAGTTGAAATTTCTAGGAAGGGTAAATCACACCAAAGATACACTACATTTGTTTCAGATTTTTAGTTCAACAGAAAAAGGAAAAAAAAGAAGAGCTAGCTTATAGAGAGGTTTGGTTCTTTTTAATCCACTTCCAGGAGTATGATTTTTATATAAAAATTATCCTATACTAATTAAAAGTAGTAGCACCCTGGGGTAATGTTCTTTTTGATTGTTGTTGTTGAAGTTGACGATAAGGAGTGTATTGGAGGGATAGTTGAGTAACTAATGGCTCAGGCAAATAAAAGATAGGATTTTCTACAAGAAATACAAAAGAAAAGGGAATTCAAAAAATGAGGTTAAAAAAAATTTAAAAGAAATTTTGGAGAGTGTGAAATCTCTGGAGAATGTTGAAGTTGAATAAACTGTGGAACCAGGAAGAATAGTTTCTATGCATAACATAGCTTACTTAATCTAGAGTCTAGGGGAAAAAAAAAAAAAGGCAGTGTTTCTTTAAGAATTAAAAAGTAGGTAGGCTTCTAACATAGCACAATGTAATGGCTACATTTTAATTTTTAAAAAAATCCATAAAGATTCTGCATTAAGCAACAGTCAAAAGTTTTTCATGCTATTTCCTAATAGCAAAAATGCTACATAAATACAGTTTATGTGATGCTGGTGTTTCTAATAACTGATAAACAGGTACAACTAGGTATCTAAATGACAGAATCAATGTAATCATCAATCAAGTAATCTACTGAGCACTAAGCACATGAATAAAAATAATCTTACTCTGTTTTTTGTTCTCATTGATTGTTAAGTTTTGTGGGTTAAGGAAAAATGATGTGGAAGTAAAGTAATTAATCACTTAAGTAATGATCTATTGCTCAAATTTCAATCTGCAAGAAAGAAACGTTTACCCACAGGTTCCAAGTTATGTAGTAACCTTTTTCTCTGACAGCTCCAAAAAGATCTCACTGGCCAGGTTGAAACTTGCACACGCACTTTTAGCACTGCTTGCTTAAAACACTAAAGGTACACATAACCCTAAGGGAGCTTTGTCATGCAAAATGAGACTGAACAAAGAAGAATCCAGTCCATGATAGTGTAACTCAACATTAAAATTAATACTGCAGAAACGTGTGCCATAAGAAAATGTTATTAAAATATCAATAACTCAAAGACAGCTCTTGCGAAAAATAAGAAAAGGTAATTAATTTTATGTATGCTATTTCTTAGCTGTGAAGGCATATTAGCACAATACCCAGATATATTATTTGTTGGATTTATCAAAATCCACTTCAATGTTTTTCTTTAAAGATATAACTAACAATTTGATTCCTTAAAGAACAATCTATACAGATAGCAAATAGCAAACAGTGTTGAATACAGGCAATCTGACTCCAGAAACCAAATGTTTAACAATTCTGCTAATTTGTTATTTGGGTTTAAATTTATTTTAAGGAGGCTGAATCCTCTGACAGTTTTCTTTTGTTAAATCAGAGATTTTCTTTTCAGTGTTAAGCTCCAATAACAGGTTGTAGTGAAGTCAGTGAAAGGACAATGCACTGTGAGGGTGAACCAGCAAATGATGACCCACTGTTGTCAGAGATGAGCCCACTGATCTTGCTTTCATTGCCTTAGCATTAGTTTCATACACTTCCAGCCACCCACCCACACATGCAGCCCTCCCAGAGCTGTGGGCCCTGGAAAAGCAGATAGCTTTCCTACACTGAAGAACAACATCCTTCAGCTCAAGAATAACAGAATCAACTAGTACCTGAAGAAAATCCATTAAGATCTCAATAGACAAATAACCCTGAACAAAGAACCTTACCTGTGGAACGATACCTATGAAGTAAGAGGTTTTTTAATAAAATAGAAAAATCAACTCATGACAAAGCAATTAAAACAATGCACTGTGTTCCCTCTCCCAGGAATAAAGACAAGAAATTGTTCATTTTTAAAAAGCAGAAATGAATTGTTCTTAGCTTATAAATTACCCACTGACCAAAATAAAATATACTTTTACATAATGCATTCTCATTAGGTTCTGAAACAAACTATAAATAGACAAGTCTTTTAAAAGTTTAAATCTCAAGACCTAACGCAAAAGTGAACTTTCAAAAGAGGTAATTTTCTTTGTCCAGGGACAGGTTTCCCCTGCTATTGAAAGTATAGGGTCCTTATGAAACTTTTCATAAACCTAAACAGGATAAAGAAGCAATTACATTAACTTATATGGAAAATTTTTTGAGTGTTCCCAGACCCAAAAATAATCTCTTCGCCTTTTCTGATACCTTAGGACACATCTTGTTAACAGACGCACAAAATAAATCCAGATAAAGCACAGATGCTCACACAGTTCAAAGCCATGGTAGCTTGATGCTAAGATGCTGAATGCAGTTCCTGGGGAAGGAGCTTGGCGGGGCCCCTGTTGCAGCTGAGCTGTGTGCTGGCTGCTTCCATAATGGCTCGCTGCAAAACAAAGTCTGCATGCTATTTTAGCTTTTTACCTTTTTTTCAAAAAAGCGGAAATCCTCTTTAGATTTCTTTCAGTTAGCATAACGGTTTACTAAAACTTCACTTTAGTAAAAGCAAAGTGGGATAAGGTGATATTTCAGAAAGCCGAGAATAGTTCTACTGAACCTTATAGGGAGGATTTTGAACAACTCTCCAAACTGGTAAATGATCGTTTTTGGTTAAACCATATAAAAATCAGCCTCACAAAACATAAAGTAGATATATTATTCACTGTCCGGTTTAATCATAATTAAATCCAGTATTTCTTGGGTTGGGGGAAACAAAGACATGTGGACAACTTTTCCTTTTTTGTTTGCTTGTTTTGAGACTGCATGTAACCGACAAAAATGTAAATAATTTATTCAAAATGCCTCCCCCTTAGATGATATAATTCATGAAACACTATTTCATGTTTAGTTTTCAAATGTTATTGTCAGAAGTCAGCAAACCAATCCAGTCTGAATAATGCACTCAAATAAAAAGGACTTTTTCTTCCTGAACAGAGACAAATCTGTCAATAAGTAGCTCTTTGTCAAACAACCAACAGATTTTTGTACCTAACACTACTGTTTTTCAGTATGTGGAAATAGTCTCACTACTTTAAAGGTTGTGTGCCAATGTATTTAAATATTTCCTCAAGAAGAGGGCGAGAGGCGGGAAGAAAGAGATGATCTCTGTTCCAATGCGCTAGTATTTACCTCTGAGTATTACATACACTGTGAGAGCTAATGACACAAAAACATAAACCAGAAAAGCATAGATGATTACCTGATATTCATTGGGCCAAAAGGTGCTCACTGCTAGCTCCGCCCGAAGCCAATCTCTACCCGTGAATCCAGTCACATTCCAAATTGGATTGGCAAGAGGTCCTTTATTCACCCTAACCAATATGTTCAAAGTGCCTGGATTCAACCCTTTCTGGCTGTATAAAAGGTAACTGAAATCAATACAGTGAGTGTCGTTCTCCTTCATTGTCGGCAGCTGAAGTCTGGCTTTTTCTCCAGGGTCATGATCTGAAGAGTCCACTATCATATAGGAACCTGAAATGACATTACATATAATAAAGCTAAATAGACACATAAGCAAAAGGGAGTATCTAATAACAGGAAAAAATATGCTAAAAAAAATACAAATCCATTTTGAGCATTAAATTTAACTTAAAAGGACTGTCTTCCAGAACAGATCCATAGAAAAATATCAAACACGTAGGTGAACTCAAATTTTTAGTAAGTAACAGATACTGTTCAAAGTACGTAATACATATCAATTCATTTGCTCTGGTGAAACAACCTGCTTTACAAATTAGTAAACTGAAGTACAATTAGTAACTTACTCAAAGTCAAATAGAGTAGGGAGAGCCTGGTTCAAATCCAGATCCCAATCCTGTAGTCTTTTTTTTTTTTAAAAAAACATTTTCTTTTTTTTTTTTAAAGATTTTATTTATTTTTTGATATATAGAGAGAGACACAGCAAGAGAGGGAACACAAGCAGGGGGAGTGGGAGAGGGAGAAGCAGGCTTCCTGCAGAGCAGGGAGCCGGACGTGGGGCTCGATCCCAGGACCCTGGGACCGTGACCTGAGCCGAAGGCAGACGCTTAACGACTGAGCCACCCAGGTGCCCCCCAATCCTGTAGTCTTTACTAAACAAAGGTCTTTGATCATCAAACATGAAAACAAACATGGCTTCCATAGAGGGGGCATCTTTCCTTCCCTGTCATACTACTCTTTCAGAGAGATGGGTTAACTAAGTGCAGGTACAATCCTTTCTGATTTCAGACCCCAAGGTCATCGTTTACACAAGCTGGCTAACTACTCGGTACTAACCACTCTGAACTTAAGTTCAGAGAATAAGGATACTCTGCAGTGTACATATGAGGAGAGAAGTTGAAAATGTCAATTTTTTAGATCTGAGAATCTGACACCTAGTAGATTTGCCTACTTCTTCGAGCCCTGCCCACTAAGCTATCAGCTAACCACCATGGCTGGCTGCTGGCCCCAGTTCTGCCATAGTCCCACCATATGCTCCTCCAGAGCTGCAAGGAACCTGGTTTGAAAACACTAGTCCGACTTCATTACCTTCAATTTAATAAATATTTCTTGGTTGTCTGTCAAAGAACATAAGAAGTCCCAAACCTCATAGCACACCCTAGTTCCACCAAACATACAGTCTTAGTGCTAAGTACAAACATGGGACTTGAACATCAGCTGCTGCTATTAGTCCAAGGGCCGCTGCAGAAAAAAATCACCATATCTTCTCACATCACTGTGGATTTTAACAAAGATACATATCACAAAAATGTCAATATGCCTATCTGTCACACTTAAGGTAGAACACAAATTTTATGGTAATTTTTTTCCCCTAGGATGTAATTTTAACCAGAACATATTAGGTGTAGTATTACAGAATCCATTGTTACAAGGATTACACTAGGACCTCTCTTCCTGACCAAACAACCCTGTTTCCTCCCTAAAACACAGTAATTTTTACATACCACACTAAATACTCATTGACTACTAGACTAACTAGTTCGGTTAACCTCAAAAGCAAGTTCAAATCTTGGCAGCTAAGAGGAATTTTACTACCTAAGAAACTGATATTTCACATCTGATGAATTCCCTTTCTAGAGCTCAGAACTTATGTAAAGATTTCACATGATAACACTATCAGTTATCAGGCAACATATACGGAATACGCTTACTATAGTGATGACTACTGACAGGACTTCCACTTCCTTTTCCTCAGGAGTCATCTTCTCTTGTAACCTGAAATTCTCTTTTTTTACTTCTTCTTGATTTTCACAGATTGCATGCACATTAATAGAATAAATTGGCCATGTATATTTTTGGAGAAATTATGTCTCTTTTTTTTTAAAGAGGATATCCTGGATCCCAATCCAATTTATACAAGCAGGATGTTTCCATTCTTGGCTATACCCACATTCTGAGGTCCATGGCTGATGTGCCAACATGTCTTTCAGATTCACCCAAGCAGAGCTCTGACTAATGATTGCTTTAACTAAGACCAGGCCTGAGATCTTAGACAAGTTACTTACTGTTATCGGGCCTCAGCTTCTTTACAAACCTTTGACCTATTTCTCCATTGCCAGAACAGGTTTTGTTTGTTTGTTTGTTTTTTCAGTGATATAGTATAACAGTAGTGAATTTAAATTATTTTTACAAGTCTTCATGAATTTTAGCTTCTGATTGTCAATTTCAAAGTAGTGCCCTCTAATTGACTTATGGGCTTTCAAATAGTTATTTTCTTCCATTACAAAATAAACTTTGGCATAAAATATGCTTTGTCAAACATCTTAATTACATACTGTGATATTTACCATTAAGACCATTTAGCAATTTTCATCCAGTTGCACTTTTAAGCTATGATAATTTTCTTATTAAGGAAATGGGATGAGCAAAGTATATTAATTTGTAGGAATTACCAATTGGATCATTAGAAAAGACAAAAGTCACAAAATAAAAGCTTGCTCAAGCTATTCCAGCATTTCGATACAAGTTAATTTAAAAAAAAAAGGTGCTGATATTTCATTTCTATAGAATGTTTCTTTCAATGCAGTCTAATTACTGCTACATTTTCTGAGTGTTATGAAATAATATGCATTTAGTTCATGGTTGCAGAAAGGAAGAAGCAAGCACTAGCACCCAAGAGCCAACCAAGCACTTCTACCAGTTGATTTCATAGAGTGGCAATTTACCCAGTAGGCACCATGGAGGTAGCTGCCTATTTGACATAAGATTTACTTTCATCATCCCAAACATAGAGAACACTATGCTATTCTTATCAACTTCTAAAAATTACTTCTACAGTAACTGACTGTAACACTCAGAGTCAGGAAATTCAACGATATGCATTTCCCTCATTTTTTATATCCTAATTTAAGCTTACTTGTTATAGTTCTGTCACCAGCTAACTAATCCCTCAGGTTTCTAATACGAGTTCAGTTCTATTTAGTTGTGATTTACCTATCTCAAGACTTAATAATGAAACATCTGTGTCAAACGTATTATGTAGTAACTTTTAATGAATGTGATTTCTTTGATGTGGCCTTACAAATATTCCTTACAGTCTCTGCAGCAACAGAGGTCTCAAATATATCATTTAAGACATAAAAGCAAAACTTCTTAGGCTTATGATCACTTTTTTAAAAATGTGTAACTTTTCTGGAGAGCATTCTGACAATGAGAATCAAAAACCTTAAAAGAGATAGATACCCTCAGCTGGTGATTCCAAATCAAAGAATGTAAACTAGATAAACAATTTGTATACATACAAACATACAGCTTTAAAAAAGATGTCCATCTCATCATTACATTATTCAAAATAGAGAAAAACAGGGGCACCTGGCTGGCTCAGCTGGTAGAGCACTCGACTCTTTTATCTCAGGGTTGTGGGTTTGAGTCCCACTGTTGGGTGTAAAGATTACTTAAAAGTAAAATCTTTTAAAAACAATAAAATAAAATAGAGAAAAACAAAAGCATTTTAAACGTCCAATAATAGGCAATTTGTAAAATTATGATAAATCAGTTTGATGAGTAATTCTGCAGTCATTAAAAACAAATTACTAAAACCACTTGATGAAAGATATTCACACTATGTTAAGTAAAATAAGCAGGTTATAAAATATTATACCCGTTTTGAAAAACCACATATATAACTAAATACAATTGTGTAAAATGTGCATATTCATAGAGGTACACGTGCACACGCACATATGACAGGAATAAAAGAATATATAGCATATAGTTAACTGTATTATCAAAAGGGAGCTATAATTGTCTTCTCTTTTCTTATCTTTATGTACATTCACTGAATGTTCCATAATGAACATGCATTAGATTTGTACTTTAAAAAAAAGAGAGACTACGTGAATACTACCTTACAAAAGTAACGTCAAATGATAAATACTTAAGATATAAACATAGGTATTTGCCTTTTAAAAATAGGTCCTATTTGCATCCTACAGATTAACAGCACCTTGGCTTTCAAAAGAAAAAACACAATACAAATATCAGAAACTTCTTATTTCAATTCATTAAAAGAGGGGGGCAGTGAGTAGACTAAATAGCAGTTTTTATTTAAAAAGAATAACCACAGAAAACAAGTCCCATATTAAAAAACGCCATAGTCTAGTATCTAGATGAGTAAATAATGTCCCATAGATGAAAATTTTATCTTTAAGATGTACTTCTAGAAATAACATAGTAACACAGGAAATAGGATTAACTGCACAGAAAATAATGAATGATAAACAGGTTTCCATAGTTCATCTTAAAACTCTTATTTATATATATCCTTTAGTACACTAACATATTTTTATAAAGTCAATTCTTATTTAAGATCCACTGAAGGTGCCCTGTTAACTAAACTGAAAGAAATTTCCACTTCTCTGCCTGGTACTGATGACCCTCCATGATCTTTGCCACGGTACCTCCTCTGACTTCTCCAATCTGACAGAGCCCTCACGACTTTCCCCACACACCATGACAGTTTTCTTCTCCAGAACAGGCTCATGGCTCTGTGAGGAAGCCTCCCTCATCTCAGCCCAGCACCAATTCTTGCCCATTGATCTTCCTCAGCACCCCGTCCTTATTGAGCTTTCCCTGCCTTGAAGCTCTTTGATACACAGTCTGCCTTCCTGGTTCTGGCCCTTAATTAGGCACTGCTTTTGTACAAATTTTAAATAATTTATACAGGCATTGTTCATCCCCCTCAGAAGAGTGATAGAAAGCACCTAATTTATTCAGAGGCCCATCAGCAGAGAGAAGCCGCACAGAAAATGTAACAGTTGAAAATGTGATATAAGAATCAAAAACTATGAGAAGTAGAAACTCTGAAGTTGCAAAGAGAACCCTAAAGAGTAAGCACAGCACCCAGGGAAGGACAGATGTGGAGAGGGGAGGGAGGCTGCTGAGAATCAGATCTCCTCAAAGGAGGTGGACTTCTGCAGCCCACCTGATGAGGGAGAAGGTTGCTGGGTCACTCAGGCCAGAGCGTCCACAAGCAGCAAAGACTCCCACGCATC